CCTACCCCTGTGGAAGTGTGTGGATGCTGGGGGCCCAACACACTAAAACTTGCGTCACTCCACGGAACTGATTACAGGTTGGGGCTTAGACCAGACCCTGTGGATCTGTGATGTAGGGCACTACATTGCTTTCTTCCAGTCCTTCATGCCATTGCAGAGACCTTCAATGCACTGGAAATGGATCAGAATGTGAAGGGATGTTGACTTAGTCTTCATCAACATCACTTGTTATGTGAGGATTTTTTTCCTGGTCAGGAAAAGGGTCATTCCCAAGGCTGGTGTTTGTAAAATTGAGGTTCTATTGTCCTTTACAGGAGGTGGGGTTCTTCGAGATGTAAGCAGAGTCAGGATGAGCTCTACCCTGACATCTGGTGGTGAGCTGTGGCAGGTTGTGGAGAAGAACTTCAGGGGCTGATCTCATTTGCATAGGCACACCCACCCCTCCTAGATGGTCACTTTGGCTGCTGTAGGAGCCTGTTTCTCTGTTGTTGGGACAGGAAGAATAAACTGTTATTATCCTAATTATGTGAATCAAGGACAGTGGAACTGTACTTGGCCTTTTGTTATGATGGAGGGACTCGTCATCACCGAAGCAGCGCTTGCTAAGCAAGGGTCATGGGTTCCAAAACCCAATGAATTGAGAGAGGTTGGGAATAGGCATTTGTACTTTGTGGTATGGGTTCTTTTTAAGGGCCCTAAATGCCAGCTGTATCTTTTCTACTATGTAATAGCAGAGCTAATTTTGATTTAGTTAGGAGCCTGGTTACAGATTACAGAGCTGAATTTGTTTTGGGTCAATGGTGCACCAGTACTGGGGTTCCCTTACTATGAGCTGAAATCACTGAGTACTGTGCTAAAAATAGTAGGGGGCCTGAAGATATATTGGTGAGTGACTTGCAGGATGACTACGGGGGAGGAGCAGCTGGTGGATGGCTCACAGGATGGCTACTGGGGAGGAGCAGCTGGCAGAGAGGAGTGCAGAGAGGTGGGGGAGCAGCTGGGGAGAGGAGTGTGGAGCATGTAAGGTACCCTTTTGCTTCTTCCCCGACCCCGTTTCCACACAGGTGGTGGTGGGGTTAAAACTCTGTAGATGAACTTTTGAACTCTGGACTCACCAATGACAGACTTTTGGGTTGCTGGACTCAAGAACCAAAGGGAAAGGACACGGCCCAATTTGCTTGGGGTGGGTTTTTGCTCATTGTTTGTGTTATGAATCCTGTTGGTGCTGTTTCCCTAACATAATGCCATATTGTTTCTCTCTGTTATTAAAAGGCTTTTGTTACACTCAGACTCTGCTTGCAAGAGGGGAAGTATTCTCTCTTAGAGGTGCCAGGGGGGTGGTATATATTTGTCCCAGGTCACTGGGTGGGGGCTCAAGCCAGTTTTGCATTTCATTATTGGAGTGGAACCCCTAGATACTGAACCCGGCCCTTGTTGCTGCCAACTCTGATGGGCAGAAGGGATACATAGATATTTTGTTCAGTTGGATCCATTATAGTGCATATGCATCTCACGTGTGTGAGACTGGAATCTTTTGACCAGAAGTATCCATTGGGTCCATGCCTGGGCCCTGCATGTCCATTTGTCCCTCATACTAGGGCATACAGGACAGAGTCTCTACCACCTCAGCCTTCCGGATGCTTGTTTCACACAGTGATTCATTCTGCCAACAGAAAATATCTCCAGTTTCCAGTGGGACACAATACCTGATACTGGTTACGATCGTCTAGCCTGTTTACACCCCAGGAGTGTTCACAAAATGCCTGGTAGTAGGAGAGGCCACCTGAAATACCGTGCTGGAAGGGACCACAGTACAGATCCTGACAGACACCACCCCTGCAATGTATAATATCAACAGGCGGGGGGCTCTGTGAGGGGGGAATCAAACTATGGAAACAGAGCCATCTGCACAGGAAAACTTCCATGGCCCTTCACCAACCAGGAGCAAATAACAATCTGGTGGATTACCTCAATGACAGTACTCAGCCAGCCACCAATAGTCTCTCAAGCCTGTGTTCCACAGAGGGGGTTTCCCTGTGGTAGACCTGTTTGCCACTAACAAGAACAGCAAATGCCCTCTCTTCTGCCCCAGAACAGGTACCAGCCCAGGCTCCCTCCAGAATGCTTCCCCCATATCCCAGTCTCAAGGCCTCCTTTATGCCTTTCCTCCCATTCCTCTGATATCCAGGGTCATAAAAAAGATCAAGCAGGATGTGACCACAGTAATACTTGTAGCATCAGTGATGCCTCACAGACCTATTGCACTGTCCGCAACACTCCAGTCTACCAGATGTATTCTCTCAGAGAAGAGGAAAATTCTCCTTCCAAACCCAACCTCTTTACAGCTCGTGGCTTGAAAATGGGCTGGCTGTGCACTACAGCCAGGGACTGCTTTAGAGAAGACCAATAAATCCTTATAGAGAGGAGGAAGCACACGATCAGTCTATGGATCAGAGTAATGAGAGAGACTTTCTATCTGAGCTTCCTTCACAATACATCAGCCCATTAGATGCCAAGATTTTGGACTACATCCTTCACCTCAAGCTATTGAGCCTCACCATTAGCCATGCTCCAGTGCAAGTCTGTATGGTATTCTCCTGTCCGGCTGTTTCAAACATTCTAAAAGGACTGGTCCACACCTAACCCTGGTCCATGATCCCCTCTTTCCTGGACCCTTAATGTGGTAAACTGGAGCCTGGCAGGCACCTCCTTTGACCCTTATCCAGGTACCATCTTCACCATCTCACTCTCCAAACCACCTTCATGGTGGCTGTCACCCCAGCTATTAGTGCTTGGCTCTCGCAAAGCCTCCTAGCAGCTCCATTATACTGTCCTCCACAGGGAGAAGATGGGGCTGAGGCCCCACCCTAAGCACCTCATCGAGGTGGTGTCTGAGTTTTCATTTAAACCAAACCATCAACCCCACCATTTTCTTCCCCAAACTGCACTTGAACCTGGGAGAATCCAAGCTCCTCATTTCAAGTAATCAAGGAGGGCTCTAGGCAGTATGGAGCCATTCAGAAAATCACCTAGTTTATTTTGTTGGCATTGGGGAAGATCGGGCCAGATTAACACATAGACAAAGTAGGCATGTACCTGGGACCCAGGCAGGTAGGGGCTGTGAGGGTGTGGAGCGGAGGGCCCAACAAACAGCTATACAGGATGCTGCTTGTGACTGGTCTGGCTTTCCTGTGGATCCACTGGGACCAGCTGCTCATCCTGCTGCTGCTCGGGGTGAGGCTCACCATGACAGAGGGGTGGCTGGGCCAAACCTGAGTGAGTGGCACCGTGATCTGTCCAACGGGGTTGTAGCACCCCCCAGGTTTGGCCAGGCTATGCCTCCATCATAGTGAGCAGCGACCAGAGCAGTGAGATGAAGAGCCGGGCCCAGCAGAGCCACAGCAAGGCAAGTTTGGCTGCAGAGCGTGTCCTGTACAGCTGTTTGTTGGTGTTCATATTAGAAAGCAGGGGCCCAGACGTGTGCATTTGTCTAGGGCCCAGCAGTGGGTTAATTCGGCCACCTCTTCTCAGAGCTCACTCCATCGGTTACAATCTGTAACCAGCTAGCAGATGTGCCCCGGGCCTCAGGCAGCAGGGCCCTCTCAACTAGAGCCCAGGCAACCTCCTCCGAAGTATTCCTCTCCGAGATCTCCAGGGCAGCCAGACAGAGCGCAGCCCACACCTTCACCATGCATTACACTGGGGGTTTTATTACTAGTTGTGATACCAGACTTGGTAGAGCAACTCTGCAATCCTTATTTTGTCAAGCTCTAGCTAGGACTCCTCACACCCTCCTCTGGTTAGTCGGGGAGCTACTAGCTAGTCACTGGAGTGGGCTCCACATGGACAGGGACTCCAATACAGAGCAAGTACTTACAGTACAGTAACTGTGGTTCTAGGTGCTTTGTCAGGGGGAAGCCCACAACTCACTCCTTTCTGCCTGGACTAGGCTTGATATCCAAAAGGTTTCCTCCTGGTAGCAAGCATCCAGATACCCAGGGATCATGGAGTGGCCCTAGAGACCTCTGGAAGGAGCCAGAGGATGGACTGCTCCAGCAGGCAGAGCGTTAGCCACTACTGAGACCTACCAGCCACTTGGGTGAAAGGGCAGCCTGGTGCTACATGTCACTGCCACAGCCGGAAAGGGAAGTGAGAGGTGGGCAGAGCCACTCTGCCCATGGGTGGAGGGTAGGAGCGCACGCTGGGGGCCAGTGCTGCCCTAGTAGATGCTGGTCAAAGCTGAGATGACAGCTGGAGAGGCCATGGGGCCCCAGATGGCACCTGAGCAGTGAGGCAGCAGCCAGAGAAATGTTGAGAAGTGGGGGTGGTCACAGGCTCCCTACAGGCCTGTCCTGGAGGGTAGCTGTGGGCACGGGTTTCCCCAGGACATGGGGAGCAGGCCCTCTAAGGGCTCTGAGTGGGGAGAGCCACCTAGAATTCTCTTTGGGTTAACAGTACGAGACTTCGCTCCTAGCGAGCAGAATGATGCACCCAGTTAGCAATGAGGCAACTTCTAGCAGCTGGCGGGGAAGTGCTCTAGGAGGAGCAGCAGCAGCACAAATCTCTCTACGTGAGCTAGCTGCTACGGGGGCACAGAGCCCGTGTTAGCCTGGGCTACACAGGGGTCTCTGGGCACTTCACCTGCTGACTTAGCACCTGGTGCTGCCAGCCTCTCAGCACTCACAGGCTGAGCGGCGTCAGGCCTCATTGCTCTGCGTGGGGCGCTCTGCCCTCCGTGTCAGTATTTTACCAGTGCTCCTTGGGTGGAGGATGTGTGAGATAAGTAATATTAATGCCCAGAGCCTGGGTAATTCTGTTCAGTCTCCTTATATCCCCCCCACCCCACAGCTAAATCGTGTCCCGCCCTCAGTGGCGGTATGCTGTTGCTATAAGATGTTTGCTGCATTGCACCCTAGAGCTGGGTGCACTGTAGTGACAGCAATGGGCCCCCCTGTCTAGAGGTGAGATATGGGCTCGTAAATTGGTTCAGGATGAGGCAGTAGAGAAGTATTGTTTTTTATTACCATCTGTCACAACACACCTGGGTGGTGGGTGAGCAGCATCACCCTCATTTTACAACTTGGGAAACAGACACAGAGAGGTGAGTGACCTACCCAGGGCCACAGAGTGAGTCAGTGGTAGAGCTGGGGACAGACCCTAGGTGTCCTGGCTCCCAGTTCCCCAGCGGCTCCGTTCCAGCTGGCATCTCAGCACGGCCAGGTGTGAGGCTGTGTTCTAGTCCCACCCTCCTCAGGTCAGCAGGTGCAGGGACTGCTGCGGACGGGGCATCCAGCCTGCACAAGGCATGGCCTTCAGGAAGATCTTCAAACTGTCCCCTTATTAATAGCAAAGCCAGTGGCCCAGCTGTCCTCACTCTGGCCAGGGGAGCCTGGCCATTGGCTACAACGGGAGCAGGAGCAGACCTTAAATTTCTTCCACCCTGACTGGCCAGGATTTGGGGGCCAGACAGTGTCCGTGTGCCTCCCCCCCCCCGACCTTTGCCATGAGGTGGCCTCATTTATGGCAGGGAAGTGCTGGCTACAACTAACCCCTATAAATATAGTGCAAAGCGTGAACCCCTGCAGCAGCCTATGCAGTCAAACCTGGGCACAGTGCCCACGCAGAGCCCCTCTGGCCAGGTCCTGCCCCAGCGAGCCAGCACCTCAGCTCCTGGAGGGAGTTCAGCAAGGGGAACTGCAGAGTGAATATGCTGACAGTGAGGAGGCTGCTCGGAGGTGGAATTGGACAGGCTGGGATGTGGAACTCCAGTTGCAGGTGGAGCATTCCCAGGCAGCCACACTCCTCAGGGCCCACACTCTTAGGGGAGGGCGGTGCTGTCATTCTCTCTCCATGCCCCTTGGTCTCAGCTGGTCTCCTGGAGGTAGGCCCTGCAGTGACAAGCAGTCTCCTTTGTGCTCGCTGCCGGGAGGCCCGGGAAGCTCTGCCAACAAGCCAAGTGCCCCAGTCCTTCCATCTCCAGGCCCTGCCCAGCTAGAGCAAGGGGCTCCCTGCCGGGACAGGTCTGAAACAAGGCTCGACTGCTCCTCACATGTCTCCCAACCTCATGCCCAGCTATGCCCGCTCATAGGCCTCCTTGTACTGACTGGGGAACATGTTACTTCCAACCAGACTGGCCGTACCCTCAATGTCCCCCGCAGAGTTCTCCCCAGGTGCCAGGAATGGGGCAGGGCTGCTCTGCGCGGGGCTGTAGGCGTCCAACAGGAACTCTGGGCCAAGGCAGCCTGGCAGCTCCATGGGAGAGCAGGCGGCGGGCAGCATGTCCCTCGGGTTCAGGCAGCTGTAGGTGGTGTAGTCCTGGCCCAGGCAGAAATCGAAGGGCTCAGGCACCGTGATGTGCTCCAGGCTGGGGTGGAGGGCAAAGCCTTCCTCTGCAATCAGAACAGGAATGGCTCAGTCAGCTAGCGAGCCCTGTTCCCCCAGGAATGCAGCATGGTGCCCAGGCTGCCTTGGGGACGACAGGGAAAAGTGACAGGCATCCTCCTGGGAGGCAGGGTGGGCAGTGGGGGTATGGCCAGACAGGCTCCCCACAAGGGGAACAGCCTGTACCTTGCCAGCATGTCTAGCCACCAGTCTGGACTGGAGCGAGTCAATACGTGGGGTTGGGCCAAGGCAGGGACATGATGGGTGTGACACTCTATATCTTGGGGCAATACCCTGTAACCTTCATATTAATCATTTTGTATATAATTGTGATCATATAAAGCAGGTATTGTGAGGTATCATGGGAAAGGTTATGACCTGCTGTTCCATCTAAATGTGTGTATCATTAATGCATATAAAACTATAAGAATTGTCTTGTATGGTTTTCACTAAAATATGCTATGGGTTTGGGAAGCATCCAGATACTAGCTCTCCAGAGACCATGACAAAGGAGATAACCAACACCCAAGTGGGTTCTGAACGGACATCACCAGCCATTGTCCAGCAAGGGAGCTACAATGCAATGACTCACTTACACAAGGCCACACTAGGGGAATTGCTCAACCTTGCCTGGTGACTCACCTGCCATGCAGTCATCACTTGTGTCCTCCAAGTACATGGATTAACGATATAAAATAGAACACAGTGGTACCATGCTTGGTCTTTCTCCTCCCCCCACCTATGCTGCAAGCAACAAGGACTCTCAGAAGACTGAAGACTCCAACAGAGGATGAAACCTGTGTACTATGAACTGCAATATCCAGTGGGGTGAGAAAAACTGCTTAATCTAGATGTTGCCCAGACTAATAGGGTTGAGAGTTTAGACTGTGTGCTTACATTTTATTTTGGTAACTAACTCTGACTTTTTGCCTATCACTTAAAATCTATCTTTTGTAGTCAATAAACTTGTTTCATTCTTTATCTTTACTAGTGTATTTGCCTGAAGCGTTTGGTAAATCTGCTCAGATTTATAGAGGCTGGTGTATATCCACTTTCCATTGCTGAAGAGGTGAACCAATTAATTTACTTATATTGCTCAAGAAAGCATCTTGAGCAGTGCAAGATGGTATATTCTGGGAGTTGGGGGGATTGGGCTGGTGCCCTTCTCTGTGTGATTCATGAGTGGCTCTGGGACCATTCATGCAATCAAGCTGGGTGTGGGGGCTCCACATGCGGTTGTGCTGAGTGATCACATTGCCTGGAGGGGTTTGCTGCTTGTCACTAGCAAAGCATTGTGAGAGACAATCCAGGCTGGAGAGTTAAGAGGCCACGGCGGTCCCACAGTCCCAGGCTGCACCCCAGGGATCCCGTCACAGTGGGGAGTGACCCCAGCGATGAGTGCAGTCACTGGAGGGCTCCTGGGGACGTACCTGGCCAGCTGGGTTGCAGTGCTGCAGGCCTGGGGAAGCAGAGGGCAATGCCTTGGGGGCTCCAGCAGGGGGGGCCCAGCTCAGGACACCTTTGGGCTAATTCTCAGGGGGCCAGAGCACCCCAGCTCACATTGGTTCCACCCAGGAGTTCGGAGCTGAGGCCCTGACATCGTTGCCACCCATGAAAAGGGGCTCCGCAGAACCCCACTGCCCCCTAAGTGTGGGAATCATTGTGCCCCCAGGTCCCCACATGGGGGATCAGTGTGTCCCCTCAGGCTCCCCCCTATCTTCCCCCATGGGGAGGAGGTCATTATGCCAACCCCAGATGCCCCAACCTGCCCCTGCCATGTGAAAGGCGTCACTGTGATCCCTGGATGCCCCCACCTTCCTCCTGCCCAGTGTGGAGGGGGTCATAGCACCCCCTGGGCCCCATCTGCTCCCCTCCCATGTGTAGGAAGGGAACACTGCACCCCCCCTAGACAAATACACCATATGGGGGGGGTCCCTGCTCAGAGGCACCAGCCAGCCTTGTGCCCATCCACATCCTGACACAAGACAACTGACCTGCTGTCTGGGGCATGATGAAATGGTCCATGTAGCCTGGCTTCTTCTTCCTCTTCTTGGCTTCAATCCCATGAGGGTCTAAGGGACAAGAAGAGAAGGCACTTCACAGTGCCCTAGCACGGGCACAACCTAGCCCCACAATGGGCACCCGAAGGAGCCAAAAGCCACCTATGACTGCAGCAGCAAGCCTGATGGGAGCAGCCCCTGCAAGATTCCCCCGTCCCCTCAGACAGCAGGTGCCTGAAGGCTGCACTCTATTGACCCGTCACTCTGAGCGGGGGATGTGGGGGACTGGCCCTCAAGCTGAGCGATGTGGATGTGCAGGGGGGGATCAGGCCATGATGCTGAGCAGTGTGGATGGCGTGGGGGACCAGGCCATCACGCTGAGCAGTGTGGATTGGGGGGGAGGGGACCAGGCCATCACGCTGAGCGGTGTGGAGTGGGGTGGGATCAGGCCGTCACGCTGAGCGGTGTGGATTCAAGCCTAATTTAATGGTGTCCAGTTTGCAAAATAAAGACTGGGAGGGGATGTGTCATTACACAAAGTAAAACTATTTCCCCATGTTTATTTCCCCCCCCGCTGTTCCTCACACGTTCTTGTCAACTGATGGACATGGCCCACCTTGATTATCACTACAAAAGGTTTTTTTTCTCTCCTGCTGGTAATATCTCACCTTAAGTGATCACTCAGGTTACAGTGTGTATGGTAAAACCCATTGTTTCATGTTCTCTGTGTATATAAAATCTCCCTACTGTATTTTCCACTGCATGCATCCGATGAAGTGGGCTGTAGCTCATGAAAGCTTATGCTCAAATAAATTTGTTAGTCTCTAAGGTGCCACAAGTACTCCTTTTCTTTTTACCTTTTCAAGTGCTCTGCCAAGGAGTCAGATCCCTGGTGCCGTTCTGCAGATGGGGGCACACTGAGGGGAGTGACTCCCCAGCCGGCCAGAGGCAGAGCTGGGAACCCAGGGCCTCATCCCATCCCACCGGAAACTCCAGGGCCAGGCTGGAGCCATCAGTCACCCCTGGCATGGGCAGAGCCAGCCCAGGAGCCAAGAGCTTCTTGCAAGGGCCATAGCCCAGGCCAGCCTGATCCCCACAGCCCCCCAGCCTGCCCTGGTGTGAGGCCCGCACACTCACCTGATGCTGAGAGCTCCTCCAGGACATCTGGCATCCCCCGCTTCCTCTTCACGTGCACCCCATATGTGTCTGTAGAGATTGAGGCAGAGGAGGGTGTGGCCTGAACCATGGGAAACTGACACAGGCCTCTGCCCACAGGCTCCCAAAACCTGCCTGGCACCAGCTGGGCACGTGCCTGCTCCACCCTGTGGGGCTGTGACCAGCAGGGGCTGCTCTGGGGCCCCTGACTCCCCTTTCCGTGAGGGGCTGTGACCAGCAGGGGCTGCTCTGTGCCTGCTTGACCCCCCTTTCTCACCCCCGATGTGACTGTGTCCATTGGGGCTGCTCTGGGCCCCCCTGACCCCCCCTTCCCTGAGGGGTTGCGTGCAGCAGGGGCTGCTCTGGGCCCCCTGACCCACCCTTCCCCCCTGATGTGGCTGTGTCCATTGGGGCTGCTCTGCTCTCCCCCAACCCTCTCCAGAGGGCTATAATCAGCGATGGCTGCTCTGGATGACCCGACCCCTTCTTTCCCTGAGGGGCTGCATGTGGCAGGGGCTACTCTGGGCCCCATGAGTCCCCCTTCCCCCGAGGGGCTGTGACTAGTGGGGACTGCTCTGGCCCCTGTTCTCCCACTCCCGTGCAACGGGGCTGTGACTGATGGTGGTTGCTCTGGGCTCCCATGCCCCCCATCCCTCCCAACAAGGCTGTGATTGGTGGGGGCTGCTCTGGTCCCCACCAAGGAGCTGTGAGCAGCAGAAGCTGCTCTGGGGTCTCATGACCCCTTTTCTCCACCAACAGGGCTATGATTGGCAGGGGCTGTGCTGGGCCCCTCTGACCCTCCCTATCCCCGAAGGACTGTGACCAGTCCTCCCCCTCGCCCTCAGGAACTGTGACTGGCAGGGGCGCCACTGGGCCCCCCAACCCCTCTACCCATGAGGGGCTGTGGCTGGCGGGGACTGCTCTGGGCTCCCCTGATGCCCCTTCCCCTGAGGGCCTGCTCTGGGCCCTCCCCTTTCCCCGAAGGGCTGTGAAGGACATTATGGGGTGGCAGTTACCGTGGTCCTTGGGCAGGTAGGTGAAAAGGAAGGGCTCGCTGCAGACGCTGTCTGTCAGGCGCTGCAGATACACTTCCACCTCCACCGGCTCCAGGATGTCCAGGTGCTGGTACGGGGGTGTCTTGAAGACAATGGCTATCTGACGGTGCACGTCGGCCTGCGAGAAGTCCGCCTTGCTCTCCCACGCGTCCCTCCGGAAGACCACGGCAATGTCCTCTGCGGGGGATGCGGGGTGAGGGCTGGGGAGTTGACTGGCAGGCAAGGGGGTGCCCCGGGAGACTGGGTTGGATGGGAGGAGCTGGGGACAGAGCCCCTGAGGGCAGATTGGGGCCCAGATTCAGCTGCTATGGGAGGAGACCCCAGGCCCACAAGGTATGGTAGCACAGAGAATTCCCTGCCTACTTGTCTGGCTGCTGGGTTTCACATACTTGCTCAGGGTCACGCTAACCTCCAGGTTTGGAGCAGGGCAGGACTCCTCCTCCCCAGATCAGACTGACAGGACCTTGGGGCATTTCACCTTTCCCGGCTGACAGGCGTAGATCAGTTGGCCACGTCTCATCTCATCAACTCTCTGCCGTGGCAGGGGCCTGAGGGCACCTGGGTCTCTCCAGTCCTCTGCCTGTGGCTGTCAGCAGCACAGTGTCCGAGGACTGAAACCCTCTGGTGTAACTATGTCCTTGGACGCTGCACAGGGCAGTTGCGTGCAATGCAATGGCCTGTGCGATGCAGGGGTCAGACTGGCTAATCTAATGGGTCCTCCTGGCCTTGAGCTCTACAAACTTCTGAGTAAGCATGTGCCCCGCAAAGGCCTCACACCATCACCTACCCTCGCCTCTCGGTGTAGCAGGGCTCCAGAACCAGCCCATTTGCCCTCCCCCCCCCCAACCCCTTCCCCTTCTACCAGAGCTCCATGCCTCCTCCCACCCCCCATTCCAGCAGACCCCCTCCCACCGCCCCAGTCCGCTGACCCCCTTCCCCTCCGTTACCTTTCTGGACTTTGTCGCAGAGCAAGTAGAGCTCCTCCCCACCCGTGCAGGGCCCGCACTCCTTATTCATCCGGCAGATCCTCAGCTCTGACGTGTTGGTGGATTCTGCACATGCCAAGACTCAGTTCAGCCACCACACAGATCTCCCCACCCTGCTCCGTCCTTCCCCAGCCACATGGGGCCAGCTGGTATCAGGGAGCCACCCCATCCTACCCGCCACCATGCAGGGCTGGCTGGCTGGCACGAGGGACCCTCCCATCCCTCCCCTGCCACACACGGCTGACCAGGCACGGGGGATCCCCCCTCTACTCCTGCCCCACAATGCAGGGCTGGCCGGCAGGAATGAGGCATCCCGCCTCCATCCCTGCCCTACCATGCAGGGCTGGCCAGCAGGCATGGGGGACCCGCAGCCTCTGAAAAGGCCAATGGGGCTATGCTGACACTTGTAAAAATTCATTCTGGTTATTTGCCTGACCTGGGTGGCGTCAGCTCTGGGGCCAGGTGGGGGTGCCCTGTGCCAGGGAACAGACATGGTGCTGCTGCCAGGCAAGCACCAGGTTATGCCAGTCACAAATCTGCAGCCATCTCAGTCTTCACATGGTCACTGTTTTGCACCCCGCAGCCACCCAGAGCCTCACAGTGCTGGCAGCCTGCTCCGAATGCCCACAAGAGCCTCCATCAGCCATTGGCAGTGCAGGGCCCATGACACACAGGAGGCGGGCTGCCATTCCTCCAAGCAGAGCGCACTAATGCACACCAGTGGATAGGCTGGCGGCTGCCCACGAATTGGCCTGTAAGCCACTCCCGTCTCCTTGTTCAGATCCCCCCAGGAGCCCCCGTCTGCCATGGGGACAGGAGATGGCCAGGGCCACTGGGAACAGATCCTATCCACCGGTTAAATGTGGCGCTAACAATCACTCCCAGCACCTCCACATGTCCCGTCCCTAGTGTGAACTCTCAAGTGCAGACACCATCTCTTCCTACTGGTCCGTATAGGACCAAGCGTGGCACCGCTGCAATACCAGCCCGGCCCCAAACAGCCCGTCCGGCACAGGGCTGCCCAGTCCCACCAGGGCACCGCTGCAATACCAGCCCGGCCCCAAACGGCCCGTCCGGCACAGGGCTGCCCAGTCCCACCAGGGCACCGCTGCAATACCAGCCATGCCCCAAACGGCCCGTCCGGCACAGGGCTGCCCAGTCCCACCAGGGCACCGCTGCAATACCAGCCCGGCCCCAAACGGCCCGTCCGGCACAGGGCTGCCCAGTCCCACCAGGGCACCGCTGCAATACCAGCCCGGCCCCAAACGGCCCGTCCGGCACAGGGCTGCCCAGTCCCACCAGGGCACCGCTGCAATACCAGCCATGCCCCAAACGGCCCGTCCGGCACAGGGCTGCCCAGTCCCACCAGGGCACCGCTGCAATACCAGCCCGGCCCCAAACGGCCCGTCCGGCACAGGGCTGCCCAGTCCCACCAGGGCACCGCTGCAATACCAGCCATGCCCCAAACGGCCCGTCCGGCACAGGGCTGCCCAGTCCCACCAGGGCACCGCTGCAATACCAGCCCGGCCCCAAACGGCCCGTCCGGCACAGGGCTGCCCAGTCCCACCAGGGCACCGCTGCAATACCAGCCCGGCCCCAAACGGCCCGTCCGGCACAGGGCTGCCCAGTCCCACCAGGGCACCGCTGCAATACAAACCATGCCTGTAGTGGGACGGTCACCTGCTCTTGCCCTGAAGGGCTGAAAAGCTAGCCCTTGGAGAGGGCTATGGGCTAGAAGCTGGGCTGAGTGGGGAAGTAGCCGCAGCTGGGCCACACCCCAGTCAGGGCCCAGCTGGCAGCCAGAAGGGTTGTGGGGGAAGGATAGCTCAGTGGTTTAAGCATTGGCTTGCTAACCCCAGGGTTGTGAGCTCAATCCTTGAGGGGGCCATTTAGGGATCTGGGGGGGATTGGTCCTGGTCCTGCTTTGAGTTGGGGGTTGGACTAGATGATCTCCTGAGGGCCCTTCCAACCCTGATATTTATGATTCAGACTCTCTCTGGCTGGAGAGAGAGACAGGCCTGGCTGTGGGGGAACTCACCTAGGGTACCTAGAGTGAGGCAGAGCTGGGGAAAGGCCTCAGGAACTGGGAAGCCCTGGGCCAGCAACTCCCCAGGCCCATATAGGTATTGGGGTTGCAGAGGGGCAGCCTGAGGGTGGGTAAAGGCAGCCAGTACAAACCCCTTGTTGCCTGTGATGATTGACTTTTACACTGCAGTTGGCCCCAGGGCGTGGGGCTAGATGGTGACTGGCAGTAGCTGTGATGTGGGGATAGTGGGTGAGGGTTCCATGGGGTGGGGAGACCCAGGGAGTGGGGGTACTGCCAGGGGGCAGCACCCAAGGCAAGGGCACTGGGTCCTGGGAGGGACTGGGGGGGCCAGTGGTAAGGTGGACCACCAGCCTGCAGAGGGTGCTCTGGGCTGGAAATCGAGCTAATTCCCAAGGACGACCAGCAGGACGCGCCGCCGGGTGAGTCTGAAAGCTTACAATGCCCCAAACGGCCCGTCCGGCACAGGGCTGCCCAGTCCCACCAGGGCACCGCTGCAATACCAGCCCGGCCCCAAACGGCCCATCCGGCAGGAGGTTACCTGGCACACACACCACGACAATACAAACAGCCTACACAGCACTGGACTGCCCAGCCCGGTTCTCTCAGCCAGGGCCCTGGCAGCCTCCAGCCTAGTGACGCTGTTCTCTCACTCAGCCAAGGTAGGCTGAGCTATTGCAGTGAGTCTCCTTTCCCTCAGAAACATCCTCCCCCTGCAGTCCCCAGCCCAGGCTGGGTGTCCAAACATGCAGGGACACAGCTGCAGTTCTGATCCTGCCCTCTGTCCAGCACTCTGTCATCCTAGGGAAAGTGGGCTTGACCACATTCCCTCCTCTGGCATCACCATGGCCCGCTGCATCGATCCGTTCCATCCCGCCCCGCCCTCCCCTGCCATAGCCCAGCTACCTACTCTTGTCAAAGATGGGCTCAGAGAGGACGGGGTTGAGGTGCCGGATCTGTCCTGAGGGCTCCTGATATGAGGCCTGGAAGCAGATCCTCACCACGTTCATGTCCACCTCCTGGTGATTCTTCAGGGAGCCAGCTGCAGAGAGAGAGCGGGGCATTCAGCATCCTGAGGCTCCAGGAGGAGAGCGCCCCTGCAGAGTTTGGAAAGCCATCCCAGAGCTATGCCTCAAGCTGAGGCAAGCCAGCCTGTGTCCAAGTCTTGCCAATTCTTTCTGCAGAACATCTCGAAGATCCTGCCTTTCCCATCCCTCCAGAGCTAAAACTCCTTCAGGTTCTCAGCATCACATGTCCTGAACACCTCAACATCCTTCTCTCCGGCCTTGACACATGCATCCTCGCTCTGCTCTGTGCTGTGCAGAATGCAGCTGCAAAGCTCATTCTCCCAGCCCATCGCTTTTCCCCCATCACCCCTCTCTTGGCATCCCTCCACCAGCTGCCCCAAAACCAGAAAACAGACCCAGACCTTTACTGGGATGGTGGGGTGCTGCCAAAGGTTTGTGGCACTTTAGCTCCCTACCAGCTCCCATCACTAAACTGTACAAAAAAGGGTAAGACAGACAAGGTGGTCTGGACCAAGCAGTGCCAGGGGCCTCTCTGTTCGTCGAAGGAGGCTCTAAGCCAGGATCCAGTTCTAGTCAACCCAGACTTTGACGAGCCCTTCCTGGTGTTCACAGATGCCTCAGACACAGGGCTGGGCATGGTGCTAATGCAAGCCAATGCTATGGGGGAGAGACACACAATTGCATACCTGAGTAAGAAACTGCTGCCCCGGAAGCAGAACTATGCTACCATGGAGAAGGAACGCCTGGCCGTTGGGTGGGCCCTTAAAAAGCTGCAGCTGTATCTATTTGCATGGCTCTTTACCGTGTATACTGACCACTGTCCTCTAACATGGCTACATCAAATGGAAAGGGCTAATGCCATGCTTCTGAGCTGGAGTCTGATCCTCCAAGATTATGATAAGGAAGTGATTCATGTTAGTGGGAATGCCAATCTTAGAGCAGATGCTCTGTCACTGAAAGAGGTACCTGAACTTCCCCAGGTCACCAGCCAAAGTGACCCCACTCAGTTCAGTCTCAAAGGGGAAGAGATGGGACAAAGTGGGAATTTTTCACAATGTTTTGTATGAATAGTGGGTAGCCCTATGTGCTGCATAGTTAACTGGGTCGGGGGAAAAGGGTGTTTATTTTTTGCGGAGACACAGAGAACAGGTCATTGGAAAAGGACTGGCTGAAACCAACTCTGTATCAATGGAGAATCCAAAAGGATAATGGCAAATCCAGTCATCAGGGCATTGACACCTAACAACCGGCAACCCAGAGAGAGCTGGATTTCCCGACCTCTCAGCAGGGGAGCTGAGCAGAACCTGCAGCTGGAGAGCAAAGGATGGGGAGGTGGGGGGTAAGAGCCAGCTCTGGAAGGAGCTGGGGCTCTCATCTGGGGACTGACCAAGGAGATCAGATGGGAAGAGAGACAGAGCCTGGCCATGGGGATCACTCCAGCTTGGCTGGGCCTGGGCTGACCAGGCCAGACAATGCTTTAACCTCCATGTCTCTGCAAGAACCTGGGGATGTCCCATGCTGGGCTCCAGGGACCAATAAACCCAACTGTTCTGCCAGGCGTCCCTGCAAATGCTGCTGGGGGTGTCAGTCCCTGCAGTAGGGGGCTGTGGCAGGAGGGCTACAGCCCAGAAGTTCAGTCTCAGAGGCAAGGAGGCTACATGGCTGGCCCTAGAGGATGAGTGAGATCCCTGGGGGGCCTAGCCCACTGACTGGTTCCTCCAGGAGGCTGTTCCAAAGCTGGGGGTTTAGCCCCGATTCTGGGGCTCCGTGACAGCCCTTTAGTCCATTGGAAACAGTGGGGGTGGTTGGGCTGGAGGGAAGTCAGAGTGAGTGCCTGTGTTTGAGGAGAGGGCCCTGGGGGGACTTGGTGGCGTGTGTGTGTGTGTGTGTTGGTGGGCTCTGGGGGCAATGGAGTCAGGATGAACACGAGTGTTGGCAGGGGGCTCTGTGGGATTCTGGTGTGTGTGGGGGAGGGGACTTGGGCGGAATCAGGGTGGGTGGGTGCGTGTGGGGACGCAGGGGGACTCAGGCAGGGCAGGGTGGGTGTGTGCATTGGGGAGGGGAACCTGGGGGACTCGCAGGAGCTTGGGGGGGGGTGCTATGGGTGGGACGTGTTGGGGGAGCAGCTCTGGAAGCTTTGGGGGTGGGGCAGGAGCATGCATTGGGGGTGGCAGCTCTGAGGGCCAGCCTAGGCATGTGAATTGGGGGGCACGGAGTGTGACACTGCATCCCATATTCATCATAGTAATATTATTAAGATATGATTGTGGCACATATTGTGCATTTTGTAAAAGTTGGGTCATGTGAGGTGTCATTGGAAAAGTTATGATTTGCTGAATATGATTATCCTATCGGTATGCATGTATCATTTTTGTATCTGAAGTTACAAATATTGACTATGGAACTGTATTTCAAATGGGCTTACTCTGGAAAACACCCACAGCCAGCCTTTCAGGTACAACAATGAAGAAGCCAGACAGTGCTAATGGCCCATCAGCAAAGACAATGGGCTGTGGAATAGCTTAGCCGACCTGTAAACATTTCGGCCAGCTTGTAAGTAATGGCTGCTATGACTCTGCAAGGGCATGTGACCAGATCACATGACTCTGAACTCCATTTTGGGTACCTGTATTTTTCCACAAACTGGTCTGGGAACCAAGTTTGAAACAAAGGGTACCCACCATTTGGAAAAGCTATATAAGGCAGGGAGTGACGTCATCTGGCATTCTTTACCCCCCCACAACTCAACACCTGAGAGAAGCTCCGAAAGAAAAGGACTTGGAACGGGGTGGGGAGGCCAAGCTGCAAAGCAAGCGCTGCTTGTGCCTTGAGAATCTGCAGCCGGCTTATCACCAGTCAGGGTGAGAAACTGCTACTTCATTTCCAATCTGTCTAGTATCTTAGGCTTCCTTTGGGGTTTCGTTTACTTACTAGGTAATCTGCTTTGATTTGTTTGCTATCACTTAAAATCTATCTTTTTGTAGTTAATAAGCTTGCTTTTGATTTATCTAAGCCAGTGTACCTTTGAGTGAAATGTCTGGGGAACAATCTCAGCTTGGTTAACACAAGCGTATTGTGCATACCCTTCCCACAGTGAGGGGAGGGCAAACTTTATGAGCTTACATTGTACACATCCCTGTGCAGTGCAAGACGGTACAATCTGGGGTTTATACTCCAGCAAGGGTGCAGGGTGGAGAAGCTGGGAAACTGGCTGTTTCCTGCCTGTCTTTGAGTAAGGCACTCAGGTAAGTCAGTTTGGGTGTGTGGCGCCACCTGCTGTCATGTTGGGTGACCACAGGGCCTGAAGAGGCTGTGAGTCACCAACAGAGCCGTGTAGGAAAGGGCAGTCAAGCCGGGAGGTTAAAAGGGTGCAATGGTTCCCATGGCTCCCAAACTGCACCCCAGGGGTGACAACCCGTCACACCCTGACCCAGTACCTGACCCATCTAACTCCACAATGGAGTTGCCTGGCTAGCGGGGGGGCAGGGCTCCTTGGGGCCACGCACCTTTGAATGGATCGATCCCTAGCTGCAGCTTCTTCTCTATGGCTGCCTCGATCTCCTTCTTCTTCACGCACTGGATGCCAAGGTTGTTAAAACTGCCGGGAACCAAAGGAGAGACGTGTTGGAGATGCTGCGGGCAAGGCTGGGGCTAAGGCCATGGCCAGCCACCGTGGCCAGCCACCGTGGCCCACGCAACGCTTTGCCAGGGGCCATGCGAGAGGAACCCCACCTCTGCACAGGAAGTGCCATCACCTGGGACCACAGCCCCGGGAAGGCCTGGGCATCACCCCCTTTCAGCCAAAGCAGCCCTTCCATCGGGGTCAGGAGATTGATACGACCCTGCTTCTCTTAGGCTCTCACTTATGGAGCCCAGAGCCTGCCAGGCCTGCAAGGGAGTGGCCTGCACCTTAACAGAGACAGAGGCTTGCGGATGTCTGTCCCCCCGCCCCGGGGTATGGGAAATGGAATATGGGATTTCTGTTGGGGATTCAACTAATTGTGGTTTTTGTAATAGATCAGCCCCAAGGATGGGTATTATTGAGCGAGAAAAGTCTGAAGTGAAGTTATTGGATTACCGGAGAGGGGAAACTGAAGCAGGTGCACTTGTGTCATGGCCTGCCACAAGAGGATGCTCTGGGTGTGGCTGCCCTAGGACAAGGCCACTCTTGCCCCAGAATCAGAGCATCCACCCCGAGGAGGGACATGCCTGCATGGCAGTGCCAATGGTCCTCACAGTGCTCTTGTGGGCACATGGCTCACTGAGTTCTGAGCAGTCCTCATGTGGCTTCTCCGGTGTCGTGTCAGGGTACCTCACTTTGGCTTAGCTTGAACAGATGCCTAATTAACTTCCTCTGAAGCAAATGAAGTCTCCCCCCAAGCTCCAGGGCAATTTGCTAGAGCAGGCATTCTCAACCTTTATCTTTCTGAGGCCCCCCCAACACGCTATAAAAACTCCGTGGCCCACCTGTGCCGCACCGACTGGTTTCCTGCAGATAAAAGCCAGGACCGGCATTAGGGGGTACAAGTAGGGCCATTGCCAGGGGCCCCATGCCAAAGGGTGGTGCCCTGTGGCATGCGGCCCTGGGTGGTGGGGTTCAGGGCCCCAGGCTTCAGCCCCATGTGGTGAGGCTTTGGCTTTCTGCCCTGGCCCTAAACAAGTCTGACACTGGCCCTGCTTGGCGGACCCCCTGAAACCTGCTCATGATCCCCCAGGGGCTCCTGGACTCCTGGTTGAGAACTGCTGTGCTAGGAGTTGGTTTTCCCATGTGGTGAGGGCGGGGCAACATGGTGGGCTCTGGGGCAGGGAGAGGACTGTTCTGTCACCAGACCAGGACAATGGCAGAAGCTATAGGGTGGGGAGATCTCACCTCAGCTGACCCATTGGCCGCAATCAGGTTACCGAGCTGCTTAGGGGCAGCAATGTCTATTCATGGAGGATAGGTCCATCAATGGCTATTAGCCAAGATGGGCTGGGATGGTGTCTCTAGCCTCTGTTTGCCAGAAGCTGGGAATGGGGAACAGGGAATGGATCACTTGATGATTACGTGGTCTGTTTATTCGCTCTGGGGCACCTGCCATTGGCCACTATCGGAAGACAGGATCCTGGAATAGATGGTGTGACAAAGTGGGGTTTTCCTCCTTATTATGTTGCATGTGAGCCTATGTGAGTCTTAGTGTTTTGCATGAATGCTGTGTGTGCCTCAGTTTCCCTGTGTATCGCACCTATGCCTAGGTGGTGGGAATAAAGGTGTGTGACTTTTGCTGAGACCCTCGGGGCCAGGCGAAGAGGCTCCAGCTGCCTGCACATAAGTGATGGCCGATGCCCTTCGTAACCTGAGACCCAGGCGGGGGACGTGACCAGGTGACACTTTGCCCGGAAAGCGAGACAAAGACCGAAGGAGGGGCAATGGGTGTGTCAGAGGTGGGGGGGTCCCTGGAAGCTGGGCAGTCTCCTGTTTAGGACTCAGAGAGGGGAGTCCAGGACGTCCGGCCTGGGGTCCCCCCCCCAAGATGGACTTTGCTGAAAGTCACTGATTTCTGTGCTAACAAGCTCTGTTCTACGCTGTGTTTCTGTTGACTAATAAACCTTCTGTTTTACATGCTGGCTGAGAGTCACTGCTGACTGTGGAGTGGGGGTGCAGGGCCCTCTGGCTTCCCCAGGGGTCCCGTCCAGGAGGACCCACCAAGGGGGAGTGTATGGTGTGAACAGGGATGCTGAATGCTCCGAGGTCAGACCAGGAAGGCTATAGTTGAGGGGGCTTCTTTGCCCTGGACAGCGTGCCCTGAGGGAGTCACACTACCCAGAGTCCTGGCTGACTTCATACAGAGCAGTTCCAGAGCATCAGACCTGTGACTCCGTCATAGATGGACCTTTGGTCTGAGCCAGGTATGGCCATTCTTACGTGGAAGTAACTGAGAGGTTTGGAACGGTTCAGTTGATGTGGCCTGAGATGTCCCACTTTGCCCCAAGGGGACACTGGGTGCTGATCACATGGTGGGGGAGATCATGGAGGGAGCACTCGGGGGAGTAACCGCCACCCTGAAACCACCTCTGCGTGCGTTCCTCAAAGCCTCTCAGCCTCACAGAGAGGGCGAGGGGGAGCGCAGTGTCCAGCTGCGAGCGGCAGGCCCTGTCCCCACGTGAGCTCTGTCAGCACCAGTTCACAGCTGGGCCTCAGCCATGCACGGAGAGGAGCTGCCATGCCCGCTGCACTGCATGTGGGGCCGCAGCAGCACCCCCGGCGATGGCCCTGGAGTCCCTGTGCCGAGCAGGGAGCTGGTACCTGTGTTTGGGGTTGGTCTGGGGCCTCAGGGTGACCTCACAGAGCCCATTGTTGCAGTCTTTCCCCACGAGACTGTGAGGGTGGATGCGGTAGGGCCAGTCCTTCCACACCAGGCACGCAATCACCTTCACCTCAGGGATCTTCTGGCAGTTCAGCAGCTGGGGAAAGAGCAAGAGATCAGAGCCAAGGCCACCCTGGGAATCCCCCGCCACGCCATGGGGGTGAGTGAAGCCAGAGCCTGGTCTATGTGTAATTAACCTGCCCAGTAAATTGCCCACCCCTCTCCACAGGGAGCAGGGCTCAAGGCACGGCTGCTCCCTTCAGCGGCTCAGAGCCCGCAAGCGACCCTGCGCCCGCTGGGCTGCCCAGCTCCACTTTCCAGCCATGGATCCTGACTGCCACAGCGTGAAATGGCAATAAAACCCACAGAGATAACCCGAGGGCAGGGCCTGGCCACTGGGAGTGAAGGGCCCTGGATGGCCACCACCAGCTGCTGTGCTAGGCCGGCCAGGACTGCGCAGAGGGAGCCAGGGTTTGGCAGTCACAGGGCCCTTCCAAGCCCAAAGGTGCTGGCGTGCTACAGCATGGGCACTCAGCAGGAGTGACCAGGGCCCTTGGTAGCCCTCCCCTCCCCCGCCCCCCAACCTCGGTGGGGCGCCAAGAACCAGGAAGAGAGCGAGGGGAGTGGGGCAGGTCCCCGGTCCCCGCCTCTCCTGTGAGGGGGGCACTAACGGACAGATAGAGGAACAGTCGGCCCCGCCACACAAGGCGCAGGCAGCCCAAGGCTGGCCCTGACCCTCCCCCAGCCCCTTTCCCTGCTGTGAGGAGACTGGCCCCTGCTCCTCCCCCACACTCACCTCGATGGCTGGCAGGGTCTTGCTGGCCTCCGTGCTGCTCTCGCCCAGGATGCTGCCTGCTGACCTGCCCTCGCACTCGTAGCGGAAGCGCATCCCCCGCTGCTTCGGCTGCTCGGTGATCACCAGCCTGGGAGGCTCCAGCATGTCTTCCAACTGCTCCTTTGGCGAGCGCATGGGCGAAGGCCACTTGGGCCGGCTGGCAGGGGGTGGAGTCGTCCCCCTGGGCACCAGCCTGGGCGTCAGCTGCAGGCTACTGAGGCTCTGCGAGAGCAGGGGAGGCTGAGAGTCCAGTGGCAGGACATGAGCCACGGCGGGATGGGAGCTTCCAAAGGAGGGCAAGCCGCCTTGCAGTGGGCTAGGTCCTGTCGGCTCCATTAGCCTCAGCATCCCAGAGGGAACGGCTGGGTTTGAACCCCTGGGCACCAGCTTGGCCGTGCCCTTGGCAGACGCCTTGGAGAGGAAGGGCAGGGCTTGTGGCTGGAATCCATCCTCCTTAATTAACTCTTCGATGATTTCTGCAGGACAGGGACAGAGCCAGAGGGTGAGACGGGGGACAGGCTGGCCTCCTGCTGGGAACGGGCTGGAGGAGAGCCATGGTGGGCCAACCTCCACCCTCACTAGTGCCCTAGCAAGACCCAGGGAAAGGGCAGGCCTAAACTGATCTTGTTCTGAATGCCCAGTCTCCATGTGCACACACAGAAAGAGGCTCGAGCCTCCGAGAGGATCCATGCACCACTGCAGGGCCACCACTGGGCCAGCCCAGGCAAACAAGGCAGCAGATCCCCAGGCAAGGGCTGGAGGATTCAGAGGTTTGTACTGCGAGCTTTCTCCCTTTAACTGACTCTGTACGCGTGCGCGAGTCAGTGGACATACATGGGTGATACCAAAAAGCAATGGGCCCGATTCGTCACTGCCCTGCAGGGCCTGCACCAGCCACACCAGGGCAGAGTGCTCCTGCTCTGCTCTGAGAGTGTTTCACACCCATTTTCACAGAGACCAAGAGTGTGAGGCCAGAAGGGACCATCCTGCACATCCAGTCTGACCTCCCATGTAACCCGGGCCACAGGGCTTCCCTGAATTCATTCCTGTTCGAGCTAGAGCAGGTCTCTCTGAAACACCCCAGTCCTGACTGAAGAATAACACTTGGTCACATTACACTGAAGTCAGCAACTGCTCACGTGCCAAGCAGCAGGAAATCTGGCCAAGGTACTTCACAGCACTTGCCTAGGCATCCCTGCCCCTCACTCACTCACCTCACACATTAGGTCGGCCCGCTCTACCCACAGCCCTGATGCCCAGGTGCCTCACTCGATGGGCCTTGCTCTCCCTGCAGATCTGGTGCTCAGGCACCTCGCCCAGTGGGCCCACCCTCCCCACAGCCCTAGCGTGCAGGCATCTCACCTGATCAGCCCGCCCTCCACGCAGTCCTGGTGCCCAGGTGCCTCACCTGATGGGCCCACCCTCCCCACAGCCCTATTGCCCAGATGCTTTACCAACTAGGTCTGCCAGGCCACAGCCTTAGCACCCAGGTCCCTCACCCAATCAGCTGGCCTGCCCACCCCATGGCCCTGACACTCAGGCACCTCCCCCCACTAGAACTGCCCGCCCAACCTCCCTGCAGCCCTAGCACCCTGGGCGCCTTGTAGTCTCTGGCCTGTGGTATACAGGAGGTCAGACTACACGATCTCAGTGGTTCCTTCTGCGCCTGGAATCTGTGAAAAAGGTCTCTGTCACACCAGTTCAGGTAAAGGTGTGACGCCGTATCAGGTTAGAGACATCAGCGCAACTCTGTGTGCAGACCCTCTTCCACCCTCAGTCTGAACATGGCAGGCATCAGTGCAAGCTAAACCAGGTGGAACCTGACATAAGTGTCCCCACACAAACACTGCACTTTGTGGCATGCTTTCAGCTAAACTGGTGCAACTCTGCATATGGACCTGGCCTTCCTGAGAAGAATCAGCCTAAGAGAGCGTAAGGAGAGAACGACGCCAGACCTTCCACTCTGCTTTACCACTAGGTCAGAGCCCCCATTCAAGGGACATTACTAACTCCCTTTTTTTGAAACTAACCAATTAATTTTTTTAAGTCCTAACCCAGTTTCTCACAGAGCCCCCTTAATTGTGGGTCCCGCTTTAAAGAGACAGCCTGTGCCATGGTAAGAACTGCCTCTTCTCTCTCATGAGCACGAAGCTGGTATTTGCTCAGGGCAGTGGCTTTTTGGCTACAAACGTCGTACCATGGCCAGAAAGCTGGCTGAGGAGCCAGGAGTGGAGGTGAATGCCAGGCATTCTTAACGTACTTGTTTGCTTCTCAATATTCCAGGACGTCCCACTGTTTTCCTAGAAGTTGGATGTGTGGAATGCTTGTGGCACCTTAGAGACTAACCAATTTATTTGAGCATGAGCTTTCGTGAGCTACAGCTCACTTCATCAGATGTGCCACAAGTACTCCTTTTCTTTTTGCGAATACAGACTAACACGGCTGTTCCTCTGAAACCTGTCATGTATGGAATGGTAACTCTTCTCAGCTTGTGTGAGCTTTGTACCACGCTCACTGTTCTCCTGGCCTCCAGGCCCCTCGGCAGTTTGGAAAGAGTGCAGGTGGATCCCTGGAATGCTGCAGGAGGCATGCCTGCAAGCTGTTGGCTTGTATGTGGTCCCATTTCCCAGGTATTCCCTTACCTGCTCTTTGGGCCCAAATGCTGAAGCTCTGGAATTGACTTCATGGGGAGGGTGCATGAGGAAGGACTGCAGGATTTGTCTTGCATTGCCCCTCCCTCTGCAGACCACACTTACATGATATCTGCCCCCTTTGCTCCAGCCAGGGTCCTATGCACAGGGTCTGCACTCGCATGTGCCTAGAGTGCTTGCACTTACCTGAGGTTGCTGTACCCCCATTTCCCAGCGTCCACTCACCTAATTCATCTGCAAAGGAAAGAGAAAGCAAGAGTATTTCTAATTCAGATGTTTAAAAGTTTACGTCTCAAACCAGCCCCTCCCCACACTAGAGGGGCTGAATAAAGGCTGCCACCCACTCAGCTGGAGACATACAACAGCAGAGCCCAGAGAAAGTGCATGAGCACTGTGGTGCTCCCTATGCTGGGGGACGCTCCGACTTCAAGGGGCTCCAGGGAGATGGGAGCAATGGGGCAGTTTCAGCTCTGTGGGATTGCTGGCACCACTCAGCCTGCAGTGAAAGTACAAACTGAGCCTTTAACCAGCAAGAGCTGCCCCCTCCCCCAGGAAACAGAGAGCTGAGCAGCAGGTGCCAACGCAGATGAGAGGAATGGGGGGTGGGGGGAGGTGTCCACGCCAGGCTGCAGAGATACTACCTTAGCCAGAGAGCTGCACAAGGGACAGTGCTGAAGTCCAGAACTCCTGCAACTGTGCAAGATTCTCCCCGCTGCGGGGGAGTGGGAGAAAATGTAGGGACACGACTGAAATGCATGATTTCCACAAGCCCCTTGGGAGATCAGGGTAGGGAGTGAGATAATGCTGTCAAGGGAGGGAGAGCAGCACCAACAGGCCCAAGCCAGGCATGGCGGAAGGAGACTACAGACATGGGAGCGGGGAGGCTGTACAGTTGGCATAAATGAGCACAGGCCCAGGAGCCTGGATTCCTGGGTTCTAACTTGGCTTTGCCACCGTGCCCCCACCATCCCCCACCACATGGTCTGGCCTCTCTGTGCCTCAGTTTACCCATCTGTAAAATGGGGGCAATGATGCTGCCCATGCGATGGGGCTGCTGGACAGATTCATGCTCTCGTTCCTGTACCATGTCCAGACTGTGGACAGTGCTAGCCAAGGCAGAAGCATTATCAGTTTTAGCAGGGAAGGGGATTACCTTCATCTGAGATTGCAGCTCCCTTACCAGAGGCCTGTGCTGTATGTGCCATGACCAGGCCGGGGTCTGGAAGAGCAGCACCTAAAAAGACAAGACACATTATTACCCCATCAATCAACAGCAACCAGCCTTGTGCCCCGCCCACTGCCACCCCACACAGCACCTGGCAGGGGAATCAGCAGGTGGCTCCTGCTGATTGTGGCTGTGGCAGGTGCTTAGGGAGATCCCAGAAAGATTGAGCTCTGCAAGCGCCTGGCCCAGAAGGCGGCGACACCCCCCAAGCTCCAGCTGTGAGCAGAGACAGCAAGGAGAGACCCTAACCCCAGCCAAGCACCAACTCAGAGAGCCCAGCGCTCGGGACCGGGTCCCGGGCGCCAGGCAGAGCGGGCGAGGGCCTAAGCCAGGCCGGTGCCACCAAGCAGCGATTGAAGGGTCCCAGATGCTCACACGAGGGAGGCTGCGCTGGACGGCAAAGCCGCAGGCACCGTCTCAAGCGCCCTCCCCATCCCCCGGGCTCGCCCCCGCGCCTTCCCCATCCCCCGGGGGCGCCTGCCGCAGGCCCCTCTCGCTCCCAGGGGTCGCTCGCCCCCCACCCCGGCCTCAGGGTCCCCCTGGGCCAAGCTGCAATCCCCCCCCCCCGACCCTCCCTAACGCTGGCAGGAGCCGCCCCTGCCCCGGAGAGCGGCCCCGCGGCTCCGTGCCCCGCGCCTGCAGCGCCGGCCCCTCACCCCGCGGGAGAGCCAGCTCCTCCGGCCGCGGCTGCCGTCCCCTGGTGTCCCGCATGGCGGGGCCTGGCGCTCGGCTCCCCGCGCTGGGCTCGCTCCCCCAAAGCCCCAGTCAGGGAGGCAGCGAGGAGGCGACGGCTCTGGAATTCCCCAGCTCCGCCGGCGGCCGCCGCCCCATTGGCTACGGGCCCTGGTGAGCTCATCCCCGTAAAACGGGAAAGCCCCGCGCTGGGCAAGGCGGCCCGCTCCGGCTGGGCTCGGCGCAGCGGGGCGGCCAGTGCCCGGGCACCCCCTGCCCCGCCAGCCTAGCGCCCGCTGCCCGCGCCCCCTGCCCGGCGGGACCAGCGGCCCGCGGGCGGGAGGAAGCTCGGGCCGAACCTGGCCTTACCCGCCAGCGCTCTCGCCGGCCCAGGGCCCTCTGGCCGCGGCTCTCACGCCGGGGCCGCCGCCGGGGCCACCCGCATCTCGCCTCCTTGCCCGCAGCTCCCGGCTCGGCAGCGCTTCCGGCCACCTGCAGAGGCCGGGAAGGGCCGGGCGGGGGGCGCCGACTCCCCCGCCAGCCACTCGACAGCTCTGCCCCGGCCGCCGGAAGCTGGGCCCGCGTCTCGGCCACAGAGGGGACAGACACGTGGTGCCCGGGCCCGGAGCGCGGGCCGGGGACAGGGGGCCCGGGCTGGCCGTGGGTGTGGCGAGCACCCAGAGCAGTCCCAAGCCCAGGGCCGTGCAGCGCCCGCCGTTTGTGTCTCAGTCCCCTGCGAGGCTTTTCTGATCTCACTGCCCTGGGGGAGCCCGTTGGTGAGTTACTGGGAGGGCTCGGGGGCCCAGCTTTATTCCTTTCACTGGCTTTGAGTAGGTGCGAGGTCAGAGGCTCCTGCAGAGGACAAGTTGTCACTTTAGCACTTGCCGCAAGGCCAGGGGAGGAGGCTGGTGGCACGGTCCGGCCAGGGGACTGGTGGCACGGTCCGGCCAGGGGAGGAGGCAGGTGGCACGGTCCGGCCAGGGGAGGAGGCAGGTGGCACGGTCCGGCAGGGAGGGGGGGGTGGCACTTTCCGGCCGGGGAGGAGCCTTGTTAGTCTGTATCCGCAAAAAGAACAGGAGGACTTGTGGCACCTTAGAGACTAACAAATTTATTTGAGCATAAGCTTTCGTGAACTACAGCATCCGATGAAGTGAGCTGTAGCTCACAAAAGCTTATGCTCAAATAAATTGGTTAGTCTCTAAGGTGCCACAAGTCCTCCTGTTCTTTTTTCTACCAGAGTAATCCCTTGCCAGAGGGAGTCACGGAAT